ACCTAGAATGCGAGAAACTCAACAGGCATTCGCGCATACAGACCAACGTCAGCGATGATGCAGCCCACATACCACATAGACGGCATTATTGGTCTGGGTTAATAACTCGAATCGGAGACAGCGCATTTACGAAGCACTGAGCTGATGTTGGTTACCTATACCATTGACTTGTCGGCTCTTATACGTTAGCCGCAATTGGCTACGCCGGTGGCTTACCAAGCCGGCGTGGCTCAGGCTTTCGTAACCGCATGTGCTACAGCACCATGCGCTGGACGCCAGGGGTTAGCCTCCATCGGCGCCTGTCGTTTTCTTGGGCGGCGTATCTTTTTCGCATGTAGCAGTGATCTTCCATGCGCCCTGGTAAACGCCCTATGATATACCCTCACAATCGGCGCCAATCCAATGTCATTCCTTCGCAACACTTGAAAACAACAGTTTTTGTTGACCTCACCGAGATCATGTCCTGGAAACGTAAACTCGCATTTCCCAAGTTCCGCTTCCCTGAACGCGTTCAAGTGTAAACAACTGTTTCCGTCTCCTGGTCGAATCAATGCGGAAAACGTGCCCGAGCTACCTCAGATGAGTCACCTGTAGAATGCAGTCCACTGTATGCATGCCATTGCGTCGGAGCATCTCTGTGTCTGAAACTCAGTCAGCACAGCCGATAAGCAAAATATGACGCAGACAATGTCGTTGAAATCGCTCCAAATAATCGACTTCCTTGCGATAAGGCGTCCAGTTTTAAATGCATTATAGAAAAATGGAAATCACCATCTACCGGTAAACCTTCAGCTTCATACACACATGGTTTTTCACCACACAAAATGCAGCAGCAGCCTTCGGCGCACCGAGGTGCAGCTCGCTGATTACCTGCAGGTTTGTCGAAATACACTACCCACGTAGTGGGTTTCGGTGTGTGGACCTCTTCAATCCATGCGATCCAGGACCGACGGTTTGGTTCTGGTTTGGACTAATCGGACAGAGATAACCGAGCTGGGAGTGGAATTCGGTGGGGCTCCAAAGTCCGAAAAGCAACTTCCTAACCGCTGTGTCAAGCATTGCTCGCGGATCTCAATGGTCAAATAATCATGATGATAGCCGCCAAACGTTATGCGCCCTGTTCCACTCAAAGCGCGGCTACCTCTACCTGATGAGTCCAAAGTAGGACGAACTCACCGGTCATGGCGTGCAGGGGTGGGAGAGAGCCACACCGACAACTACCACTTCGGTGACGGGCCCAGTGATTGTACTGGCATAGCCTGACAACGAAGTCAACCGACGCCATAAATGAGATTGCGCGTTGCAATCCAAGACATAAGGCTGGTGCTCCAAATCTAGAAAATCACACTACCCAATTAGCTATATCTGGAGATGTTTCCAAAACGCCATTACCAATCTGGAATTGAGGCAGACACTAAGATTACTTTTATGTTAAAGGCTGAAAAAGCAGCTAGTATTGCTTGTGTTGATGGTGAGCCCGAATTTGGCCGATGTCGAATAGAGCCGGTCGTGTGTTGCAGCTCGTCTTCGCTGTGCGCAAACAACGCGCAGCCGACCACCAACAGCGACATACAAATGGTTGTCTCACACACTAAGATTCTCGTCCTGAAACGACGGATGTTCAGCACCTCACCATCAATACGGTACTCTACACGGACACCGTAATCACAAGCAGCGTCAATAGCACAGGACATCATTGCATGTAAGTAAATGTCAGACAGAGCCGGAGCTAATATACACCCTTGCTTCACATCAGGGACAACAAAAAAATCACCCGACGTTTGTTCATTAAGCTGCACCTTCGCCCGCATATCACAGTGCAAGTATGCAACTAAACTTAAAAAATTACTCGGACAATCAATTTTGCCTAACACTAGCCACAGTGTCTCGTAGTTCGTGTCAAATACCTTGGCAGAATGGCTGGCGTCACTCTCTGCATTTCTCCTGCAGCTGATGAGCCTCAAACACCGCGTCTATGGTGCAGCGACCCGAACGGAATCCGTATTGCTCTTCCGCCACGTGCGGTTCAACGACCTGAACGACAAGGCGGTTGAGCAAGATTCGAGCAATCACATCCCCACACGGCTCAGCAGGTTGATTCCACACTAATCTGTGACACATTGCTTGCTCCCCTAGCCCTTGCACAGTTGTAGTACAAGGGTATCATTCCACTCAAATTGTACACCTGCTTCAAACCACACGCTTCGTGCCAAATGGTGAAGTGCATGGATCATCGCCGGTCCGCATTGTTCCAACACTTCCAGCGGTATCCCGTCGGTTCCAATGCACTTCGTTTCACAACTGAGCAAGTGCTCTCTGCTTCTCAAGCACTGTCCGTGTGTCGACAAGACATATCTTCATGTCTTGCTGCAGCAGCCTGTGTAACTTAGGCCACTCAATCTCCTAACGGCTGTTTAAGAGGAAGTCGAAACACTTTCGCCAGATGTACTTTATACCTACAGTCTGCTTAGAAACGGCGACTGATTTCTTATCACCATCCTCCCCAGCGGCTACAACCCCCGTCCATATACTGCCTCCAATGAATCAAAGAATGCCTTATGTTGGCGGCGGGCGGAGTAGCACTCCATTTACTTCGCGTTCGCCGTCCACCATGCATTCCTAATGCAAACGAGCTCTCGAGTACATGGTCTCCTTCTCACCGTCTGCGGGGTCATTCACAGGTGTAACGTTGCTCCTTTCTTCCCCGACACCAATGCACCAATGGTCGCAATCTTGCCATCAAACTAATCAGGCCGCTTACAGTTTGCGCGTCTGATAGTTTACTCTGCCGCAGCCGTTACTAGTTCACGGATGTGGTGCTACAACCCTCCTCCGCCCTCCTGCCTTCGACATCTCCTCCTGCAACTCCATTCGCTTCTCTGCAGTACCTAGGGAACAAAAACATTGAATTTGCACCGATTCGCGGCCAGCAAGCAATAGACGCATTTAAGAGAATCCACATATACTTTGGTCCACACTGACTTGTGATCAGTACCACGCTCAGTTCCAAGCAGTACATGTGTTACACGCACTTCACGAAAGCCGCGCTGGCGTACGAAGACATAGTCGATCAGGTGAGCGTGACCACTCCGCCGGTGCGTTCAAATACCTGTATCACTTGCAGTTAATGAAAATCAGTTGTTTTTGATCATCAGGCCGTGAGCGGCGCACAGTGAGACAGTTGTTCACCGTTCCCATTGGCTATGCAAATATAACACGTTTCGATCACCTTTGTCCAACCTAGCGCCTTATGCACAACGAGCGCATTGAAAGTACCTAGTGGGAATAGCTAGTCTCAAACGAATACGTTAAGTAATCGCTCGTGTGTTGACCTGTCTTGGAGGAAGTATTTGTTAAGGTGAAATGGTGATAGGGAGAATAAGTGCACGTTGAGAAGAAAGGAGACGCCAACGGTAGCATGTTTTCGCTTATCCACTCTGCTGTACGCAGCAGACAAGGAAACCTTTTTCCTAAGGCCACTGCGTGACGGTCGATGCAGGGTGGGATTACTTCTAAGTAACATTCATGGTTAGTTTTTGAAATGAGTTACTGCCAATGCGTCCACACCTGACAGGAAAACAACTCGAGCTCTCAGGCAATGCCTTCGAGAAAATATACTCTTGAAAGACCCAGGGAAATGAGCCATGAGTTAGCGCACTTACGTAGTTTGTCTTGGCGCTTAGCTTGATGAAGTGAGTAAGCCAACTCACACCCAGCGATCCTCACGAGGCGTCCAGAATCTGAGCCTATGGCACAAAACTAGGAGCAGCGTATTGGCGATGTGTCAGAACCTCAACACCAAAAGCCGCAGAAATAGATGGGATTTCCTACTATATATATATATATATATATATATATATATATATATATATCCAGGTAAGTGCTCTCATGTATTTGTGGCGGCTGTCTGGTAGGGTCTAGCTCTGGCTATTCTTTTCAGAAACCCAATTGTTACCCCCGTTACTCGAGATTGATAAGTAATTCTTTTGACACTTGCACACTAGCTCGATTGCAACGGCTTACAATGGTAGTCGCAGCTCCAGTGCCAGCCCTTCATATGCACGTCCATAAAATGCATGGCAGTGTTGAGTTGGATACGTTGTAGGTAAACAGTAGTCATAGCAGTCGGTTGCAGTCACCCATGAATCAGTGAGAGTATGATCATGGGTTCGAGGCCGGTAGGATCCGGCGAATGAGGGATGCTGACGTCTTTTAGTGGATCTGTGCTGGCTCTCTGGCTAAAGCTGCGTAAAAACTCAAAAACACAAAAATCCTCGTACTAATGTCTAATAGACGGTGTTTTTGTTATTTCCCTTCATACAAAATCCTTGCTGTTGTGACTCTTTAATCCTACCCAATTTTTCGACATCAGTTTAGGGTTATAACCAACACCGCATACGCTCACTGAATAACAGTGTTTATGAAATGGGTGAGCGTTGCGGCGGAAATTGACTGGGTCTCAGAAATAGTGAATCTGCTTCACGAATGTCTCAGTCGATTCCAGCCCAAGCCTAACCATGAGCAAAACACGTTTAAACAACAAAACTATTGGTCATTTGTTGTGCTCCACCCCAGATCCATATATCATAACATCATAGTAAGCCGGGGTACGATGCGATATAGCGTTTCCTCAATTTGAATCAGAATAATCGAAATGCCCCTGGGACTGGTGAATCCCATACCATCCGTCACCTTGTTAGAGGACGTGCTGTTATCTTCAGCAATCCTTCGCGCTTCCGACTAACTCATTAATCTTTCTCTGATTCACAAAGTCCCGTTGGCACATTGTGACGCGCAGTTTTTGTGCGCATTCAGAATTTAAACAAAGTGATATGTACGTATGTACTGGCAAAGGACCGGAGTTTGTGCCCTAGTAATCTAGAAGAGTAGAGACCATTCACTTCACATCCGCGGAAGGCTACAAAAGCACTATTCTTCAGAGATCGACGATCGCAACGTAACGGAAAGCTTTACCCGATTTACATTAAAGAGAGACTGACCTGATACAATAGTAGAAGTGGTCTCTCGTGAACATATATACCGTCGACGACACGCTTTCGTGCGAGTGCAACTGCTTCTTGCGGTTCCGAGCTTCCCACTGTCATACTGTTCTGTTCCAATGTTTCGTGATTTCGACATTGCTTTTCCACAAACCACTGGGGCAAAGGGATTCTTACTGTAGCTGGACGTCTGAGAATCACTTTCGACAGATCCAATTCATAGATGTCAGAACAGCCTTCTATTTCAGCCATTTGGGGATCAAAGTGCACCGCAGCTTGGGCCCATGTTGGCCGGATATCCAGCACCTAAATTTCAAGAAAAAGCAATAGAACAGCGCAACATCTTCTCATGTACTAAACATACTGTCTAGCAGTGCAAAGAAAGATAGCAGCTGTTTTCCTTGTTTCGTTACCCTACTTACTCACGCTGTAAACACTGGTCTTCATAAATGTTACTTGCAGTGAATAAAAAGATCATAGTCTCTCGCCATGCAGTGTCACTTGGTCATAAGCGTTAGGTACGGCCAATTGATCATTTCCGTCCCAGTCATCCAATTGTAAAGAAACACTATTGCTATGATACGCTCAGAAGCAGTTAAATTCCAGTTGCAGATGACAGTACAAAGAAATCACACAGTTTCAATTGACGCAATGAAATTCTTAGGCTACCAAAATTGAAGTCTGCTTAAATTTGACAAGAATGAAACTGCGTTCGTAGAAAATTATGGGAGGAGCCGGTTTGCATCCTAATAGCTTGCAACCTATACTAGCTTATTCAAGGCAAGGTTAATCGACGTGTTTTTAACTTTAAATATGTATATTGTGCTGAACTATACGATATGGCTTCACATGTCCTATACCGAAACGCCTTGCTGTTGTCCTAATCCACCTACACTACCAGACATAGCCTGTGTGTCTCGGCAGACGAGATAATGCGACGAACGTTGCACAACCAGAATTAACCTACGCAAATGTGTTTGGCACTTTCTGCGTGCCTCTGTGTTAACAATGTGGTGAATCTACCGAAACGATTTTCATTTTATCCCTTGGCTTTCTATTCACCATATTTTGGTTCTCTTTTTGGTCATCATACGGGATTTGCTAAGCATCCGCATTTTGCCCGTAATATACCGTTGTTCCATTGTTCCAGCTAACGTTATCCACAATTAACTGCACTACATCGACAACTTGAACTGACACCTCATTTCCATAAGTCCACGGCCACCTTACTTTTGAAGGGAATCGATGGGACCAAGCGAGGCGCGTTGTTAACCTTAAGTGCTTTGTGTAAACTTCAGAACATTGGTGCCTGCGCCTTTGGCACACCGTGAAAGAGCTCCAAAGACCCACCTCCTGTACGTCAGCAATGTTGCAAATGTTCGACAAACCATTTTACTACAGGTTTTCCTATTCACTACTACCAGTCTGAATGTAAGCTTAACCTCTTCACACGGAATGCAGTTTGGCGTTGTGTAACTCCTGCAATATCTGCAGCAGGCAAAAATGCAACGCAATACGTATCCAGTTTCTTTTCTTACTGTAATGCATTGATCAGACAGCCATTTGCGAATATTGCTCAAATAATGTTTGCTGGGTGCGTGATGACCACTTTAGTAACCACATCCATTTCAGCTACTTAAACGGAATAAAATGCTTTCGCTTCGCTCTGATCATGGTGTTTTATAAGATGTGCTCCATGTTCTTCTCTACTTTTTTCTAAATGTTACATACCTAACTATACACCATCCAACTTCATTAGATAGAAGTATGCTAATCACATCACTTCAAGATGTATTGTCCCAAAAATTTGCAATGAGTTACTAATGTGGCCGTCGATCCGGTTGCCCATTCGCAACATTTTTAAAAGCTATGGTGGCCGACTGCTTCACATTAAGGCTATTGACTATTAAGGTTACAAGTGAGCATTTTATCTGAGGATTTATCTTTTTCCATACGAGACACTTTTAGAAATGGAGAGCTGTCTATTACTGCTTTCAGTAACCGTGATTAACTTTCTGCCATCGTTGCTGCTTACTTTCTGCACTTTGGCTTTACTGTACTATAAGTTTCCAGGAACTTCCCTGAGTAGGTCACACATTTACTTTCGGTTTATAGAATGAATTTCTATTTGCAGAAGGTTTTATAGAGGAGCACTCGTCCATTCTTTTTATCGGTAAACATTTGGTCACGCGCTAGGTTTTCGTTCAAACATATATGAACTGACCACCAAGTGTTGTTCCTTTTACACACCCTAAAGTTAGAGTAATGTTTTCTCGTATTGTTTGTTATTGTAATTTCATCTCGCCTCGCTTGTCGAGATTAAATCCTGACTTGACGAAAATCGTCAATATGATGCAGTAGTGGCCAGATGCTGCCCCGTTTGCTTTAGCCATGATGACAAAATCCTTCTAAAATATCCAGTTTTGTTATACACCCAGGGAATCTAAGGGGTCTGCCGGCGTTCTCCTGCCAACGGTTGTCTGATTAGCTCGGCATACATTTGCGACATCTGCGACTTCGAATCCCATTGGCGTTTCCTTGCGTTGCTGCCGATTCGAATAGGATCCTGGTGTATTAACGTCGTACTAGCCTTAGATTATAAAGCCAGTACATCGGCTATCTAACTAAGCTTAATGCTCGCCGTTTATATTTGTGATTTCCCAACAGAGTTGTGGTGATTGGTTGCCTTCGCGTTGCTCTATCCAGGTAACCTTCCCAGTCAATACAATGCACAGTCGTTTCCTCGAATGACACTCGAGGTCATTTGCACTCGACACTTACTTGCTCCTTTACTTATTAACTTTAGGTGCTTTCTCATCCACAGGACAAGTGTAAAAGGGAGGAAAATCTATCCACAGTTGCACAAAGCTTACTTTGGATTTTCTGGAAGAACGATGATAGATTCACTCACACGGAGGCCTAAGCAACACGTTTTAGCAGTTTTTGTCTAAACCATTGAACCTGAACAACAGTAACGTATGTTAATCTGAAAACCTCACCAAATGAGATAGTGCATATAACTACCGCGTTCGAGTACCTCTGGGTGACTTAATTAATTTCCTCTACCCATGGGTTCGGAGAGATTTGTGAACAATCGGTTGGTTTATTTAATTGGCAACGTTTTATTTTTGACACAAAGGCTTCGTCAGGCTTTCTTGGCATGAGCGAAATATTGTCAATTAAGTAAACCAACCGACTGCCCACAAATTGTGAAACCATGGGTAGAGGAATTTATGTAAGTCAACTGGCGGTACTCGAACCTAGTAGTTATATACACTATATCGTTGGGTGAGGTTTGCAGGTTAACATAGGTTAATTGTGAAACTATGACTTCGCGATCAGTTCCAAGTATGTTTAAAGAGTTCCTGCATCCATAGCTGTTAGACGAAATGCCGAAACTTTGCAGAAGGAATGACCATAACTTGGAGTAACAATAGCTGTTGTGAACTGAGATTGCTTCTTTAACTTCAGATTCGGAAACGACCTTTAAATTAAGCGGCTTTGCACTAGCCTGTACTACTTTTGCAAAAGTAGATTAAGAGCAAAAGGTCAGCAGAATTAATCCCCAGAATGGAACCAGACAATCGAAACCATCGTTTGCTGAGGGTAAATAGACTAATGCTTGACATGTTCCTTCGCACTGACAGCGTACGCCGGCCACTTCAACCTCCTTATTCTGGTCCGTACCGTGTCGTACGCAGAAGCGACAAGACGTTTACCACTGACTACAATGGTAAGACTGAGACAATCAACATCAAACGACTCAAGCCAGCATTCCTCGACAAGCCCGACTCTTCGGTGCAGCAAGCATCTTCACAACCTGCGCCATCACAGCTCGCACCGCAACCTCAGACGAGTCAGTTCGCTCCAGCAGAACCGACAACCTCAACCGACAGTACTCCTACTCGCCCTACTATCAATCGACGCGGTAGGAAACTCAAACCACCAGTTCGTTTTTCGGACTTCGTTAGCACTTACCGTTTTACATAGAGCGGGCCTCTGAAATTTTCTGCTCTTACCAAAACCTTTTGAAAACCCAAAAGCAGCTCTGCACGTTTTTTGCTTTGCACTCTTTTGTGTATTGCTATGCAGTTACGCTGCTTTTTCATTTTGCTTTCCACATACATCGCCGGTTGGTTGCACCTCGGTTTCACTTTTGGCTGGATCTCCGCACGTCAAATGGAAGTGGAACGAACTTCCTGCTCAACCGCCTACGTGAACTTTACTAACTGTCCCCCACAAACAGTTTTTTTTACCGTTTCGACACCGTAGGGAGGACACGGGTGGGAGCCCGCTAGGGTCCGATTGCATGGTTCTTCCCCAGCAGCTGCATCAGGTTTCACAATCTGGTCTCGCAGAAGGTTGGTCCGCGACGGACAGTCCTCACGTAGATCGAAGGACTGCTTACACAGTCCCTTCTGGGAGAGGGCTATGTAGCAGTCTAGAGATTCCCCGGTTTGCCTGTGTAAAATTCTAACTAAAATTATTTCATTGTATACCTAGGCAACCGGTGTGGTTTGTTGAACTGAGCGCTGAGTTCGAAGGCCTGACTTGCTCATCGCCAATTTTGCTTGGCGCTCGTTTCGGTTGCAACTCGCGACTGCCCTTTGTGCTGTGCATGCTCCGTTCTCCTAGCTAGAGCGCCAGCGGTGTCGTTCCTTTATAGCTAGATAACAGGGAAACTTTTACTGTACCAATAAAATTTTCCCTGCAACTTGATCTGTCTTTTCGAATCGCTCCGGGCCCCCGGTACAGGCTACTCCCTAAAGCAGCCAAACCACTTGTACCTGTGTCCTTCCTGCGACACCCACTAACGATAACCGACGGTGACTGTGCGGTGTGGCCAAAGAGCGTGAAGATTACTCACCCTCTACCTCATGTGACCGGACACGTGCAGCGTACGAGTGCAAAAACGGCCACCACTAAACATGGTTCCAGTGAGCGGCAAAAGTGCTGAGTTGAAGTGTGCACCAGGGGTCAGAAGAGGAAACACTTGTTCAAAGTGTGCCCTTGTCTTCTACCGTTAATGCGGTGGTGTAAGTCAATTGGAAGCAGAGATAGAGCAATCTGACAGATGCACTCTGGTTTTGCGAAACATGTAAAGCAGTTCCGATGGTCAAGCGTATATGAATACACAGGAAAGTGTAAAATACTGACTGAAACTGTCCAGCAGATGGCGAGGTTCAGGGATTTAGCAATTGAGTCTATCACGCCTAATCTTAATTTACAGCAAACGCCTCTGAGCTCTGTCCCTAAGTCGAAAGGTGAGGTCAGCCTTGCTTACCGTCGCACGGCATCTGCGCCAT